ATATTGGGAAGAGATTTAGAATGGTAAGGTTGTGAAGTGTGCTCGGGGATAGTAATATGACTTGGAGAGTTCTTTGCATTTTACATTTCTTAACCAATAGTCAAAGAGATGCAATATTGAATATTATTTAAGTATTTATTTTAGAATATTTTGGGGCTTAATTTTGGTTGCAAAGATAATACAGAAAGCTCCCACATATCCCTCACCCAGTATCCTCTATCACCTACACCTTACAATACCGTGGGACATTTGTCACCGCTAAGGAACCAAGGCTGGTCATTATAACCAACTGAACTCTACACTTCATTTGGATTTCACTAATTTTGCCCTAATGCCCTTTTTTTGTTCCAGAGTCCCATGCAGGAAACCATGTTCCATTAAGTCATCCCATCTCCTATACTTCTTTGATCTATAACGATTCCTTCAGATTGCTTTTGTTTTTGATGACCTTGACAGTTTTGAGGACTCCTGGTCGGAGAGTCCATACATTGGCCTTCACTCTGCGCTTGTCTCTTACCTTTTTCACAGTTAGACTGGGGTCATGGGTTTTGGAGAGGAAGCCTGCAGAGCTAACATGCCATTCCCGTCATATTTCGAAGGTTCTTGTGATCAACATGACTTATTGCTGATGATAACCCTGATCACCTGGCTGGGACATGGACTAAATCAAAATGGCAAAACTTTTTAACCACGTGTAAATCACTTCCATTGCCAAAACTTCTCTCACTACACCTCCCGGGAGTACAGAAGACAGGCAGTTTGCAAAGCGTATCGCATTCTTCATCCTGCTAGTTCTTTGTTCATGCTGCTGTCTCTGCCTAGAACTCACTCTCCTTCTGCCTTGGCTAATCCCTACTCATCCGTCCATATTCAGTCTTGCTGATACTTACATTACTTTTTCTGGAACCCTCATTGCCTAGAGAGGCAGGGCAGGGTATCCCTACGTTTGCTCCCACAGTGCCCAGTTTGCACCATTTGGCATGCTGATTTATATGTGCTTACTCTCTACCACCTCCCTCTCATCTGTAAGCTTCTTGAATAACATGGCCATGTATTATATATTCTCATCCTTAGGGCATAAGAGCGCGTAGAGGAAAGTTGAGAAATACTCACTGAATAGGTGAGAGAATGAATAAACCAGAGCCTTACAACATTGTCCTGTGGATATTATTTTCATTTTTATGATGGGGAAACTGAGGCTTGGAGATATTAGATAACTTCCTCGAAGTTATGAAGTAAGTAAGGACTGTGTCCTTCATGTCAACTTCAGTGCTAATATCTCAAGAATTTGAAATGACCTGGTGATGTGTGCAAATTCCTTAGTAGCTAGAGGTGGTTTTTGTGCTGTCTTGCCTCTTCTTCTCAGTTCAGCGGCTACTATTTGGGTCTTGATTACAGTGTTTTAATGTAATGTAGTTGAACCTTAATTGTAAGAGCTTCATGTTCTCTCCTAAGATTTGATGCAGGGTGCCCAAGGGACTTCAAGGTTTGTCTCTTTGAAAGTGAATTTAAGAGCGTACCTAATATTGGAGGCCCAAATGTGATCATTCACATTATTTGCACTCTCAGTTTGTGAGATATATATATCTCTCAGTTTGTGAGATACATATATATATATATATTTGGAAGCAATTGCTAGTCCTAATTTGGATTACAATCAAGGATGTCTGTTCATAAAGATCACTACATTTGGAGCTCATCCTTTGCTTTATACGGGATGATGCAGAGATCCAGAGAAGTGATTTATGTGCTGAAGGCCAACCAGCCAGAAGGGGATGAGACCATGTCCTGAAGCTCCTCACCATGCCCTTCCTCTCCATCACTTGGGCTCCACTAGAATTTGCTGACTTCCAGAACACTAGGTAGTACATACATTCTCCACGGAGTATGATAAAATATTGGAGTCGCTGAAGACAGAATGAAGAAAACCTGGGCCATATGTACAGCCCTTCTCTCACCCCTTCTTTGTCCTCCTTTGCTCTTTCCTCTTCCCTCCCCCTCCTTCTGCTTGACAAGTGGGTTACAGTAAGAGAGAGGGAAGTGGGCAGAGTGCCAAACTAATTATAACATCTAAACTTAACCTACAGCTAAACAAACATATGCTAGATTTTCTAGATGAGTTCCAATTTCAACGATTCTGTTCACTCTCCCTGAAGAATTTCTCACAATGCTACACTCAAAATGGGAACCTCACCACTCCTAGGAAAGGTGGGCAGTCCTTGTAACTGTGCCAGAGAAGCTCCAGCTGACTGACAACATGGGTAGAGTCTTCTTTCCTGGCATTCTGCATCACTGTTGTTTTCCAGCACAAACTCTCAGATCACCGATTCCCCCTAACTGTTGGTTAAATATCCTGTCCATTCCCATCCACAGCTGCCAACCCAAGGACATCCCAGCTGCAACAGTGGCCATCAGACCACTGCAGCCCCTACTCAGATTTTTTTGTATGGCCTCCAAGCTAAGAATGGTTTTTGCATTCTTGAATGGTTGAAAATAAATCAAAAGGATAATAGTATCTCTTGACATATGAAAAGCACATGCACATGAAATTCAAATTTCAACATGCATAAAGTTTTGAATTTCATTGATTAAAAATTTGTAAAAATTAGTTTTTGCTTTTTTTATATAAGTACCTATATAATCGTCTCAATTTTGCCTCTTGGCCTACAAAGCCTAAAATATTTACCACCTAGCTCTTTACATTAAAGATTTGTTTTCCCCTGCTATGGAGAAAAACTGTAATGTCATAGTTAGAAACTCATGTCTTAGCAAGCTGACTTGGATGGAATCCCCATCTGTGGGGCTTCAAAGCTGGGTGATTTGGGGGCAAGTTACATACCCCTCGCAAATTTGCTTGTCAATTAAATGGGAGAAAATAGCACTTGCCCTGTAAGAATATCAATGAGGATTAAAAGGGAAGATACACGTAAGGCACTTAAGCGTGTGCCTGGCACATAACAAGCACTCAGTAAGTGGTGGTTATTATCAGTGTCTTCATCATCCCTGTTATCTTTGTCATTTATTATTAAAGTGATTCTTCTGAAGTTCAGTTCAGAAACTCGAAATCTCTCTAAAGTGGGTCCTCTACTGAAACGGTGATTACGGGGAGAAGCTGATAACAGGAAAGCATGTAAAACTCCCTTTCAGGCTCCTCAGTCCGAAGTTCTGATAACAGGGAACCTGCATACTGGGCTCTCACTGAGATGCTGATCTAATTAAGTTTATGCACATTAGAGAGTCTACAAGGCTTAGCCCTCACAGAGGAGGCATTTTTGTATTAACAGAGTTACTTATTTCACCAAATAAATGTTTAGTTGCTGAAATAAGTAGATGATGGAGAAGGGAAATTGGTCAATGATGGTAGAAAAAGAATACTTACCTAATTTTTGTGCACAGGAACCAGTCCGCCCTTGGTCCCTGTCAATGTCACCTTACATACTTCTCACTACTCCCATTTAGGATGATTCAATAACCCTCCCTCTGCCTCCTCCAGCCCAATACACATTTACATCACCTACACACATACTTTGTCTTTACGAAAGCCTGATATATATAAAAATAGCATTGTATTGTTTTGTTTTTAAATATTTATTTTCATTATAAATGCCATATTACCATATTATTGAAATTTGGGGAAACAAGGAAATAAAAGAGAAAAAAGCCAATATCCCACTTCAGACCTTACTTTTCCTGAGCATATGCTTTTTCAGAATTGTACTCATTTTTTAGGTATATTCATATCATTCAACAAAGTCACACTCCGCAATTTTCACCTGCTTGGTGAAAACATTTTTCTGTGTTATTTTATAGCCTTCGTAACCATTGGTTAGTTGTAGGCCGGACACAGCTAACCCAAATGGTAACTGTGAGGGAATTAAACTGTCCTTTTCCCAAGCCAAGGCAGTCCCACTGTTGGATAAGCAGAGCACAGACTAGATTTCAGTCTTTACTGGTCTCTACTTGCCCTTGGTTGGATGGCCTTGTACAGTGAACAATCTAAAGCACTATGCATGGCAGCTTTGGCCAGCTGCGTATCTGTTCACATCTCTATCCTGGAGTCTTAGACTATGAATCACAAGATGCCAGTTGTGACCCTTTGGGGCTTTTACTTCACCTGTGTTTTTACACTACTGAGTCCTGAATCTTTAAAGGTATGATAGATGTAACGCCAACGATAGGTAGGGGAAATACTAATAAAGTAACAAGCCATAAAAATAAAAGAACAACACTAAGAAGGACTCAGGAATCAGATAACTAGGTTAAAATCCATCTCCTGTACTACCCGTTGTACAGCAAAGTACAATAAAACATTTATTTGGTCTTTGTCCCCAGTTCCTGGCACAGGGCTCCTAAAAACCCTGGGGTTTCCTGAGTGATCGGTGTGTCTTTTATTACTCATAACAAGGCCCCTTTTGATTACATTTGAGTTTATGCTAATGAAGTGTTACAGGGTAGAGGTCCCAGATAGCATCAGGATGGGAAAAACCAAACCTGTGATCAGTAGGTAAGAACTTTCAGCCCCTCCAGCCATCCACCCCACCCTAATGTCAAGGGAGGGAAGGGGGGGGGGGGGCTGTAGATTCAGTTATAAAAACTCTTGAACGACGAAATTTAGAGAGCTTCTGAGTTGAAGAACACATCGATGTGCTTGGAGAGTGGTGCACCCCAACGGGCTCCTCACATTCCCCCACTCCATGCACCATATACCTTGCCTTATACATCTCTTCCATTTGTCTGTTTCTGAATTCTAGTCTTTATGCAAAACTGGTACAGGAAAACCTTGGTTTGCGAGCATAAGTCATTCTGGAAGCACACTTGTAATCCAAAGCACTTACATATCAAAGCAAATTTCCCCACAAGAAATAATGGAAACTCAGATGATTTGTTCCACGACCTAAAAATATTCATTTAAAAAAGGATGACGACACTGTAATACTCTACAAAGTAATAAAGAAAAATGTAAAGAAAATAGAAAAGTAAACAAATTAACTTGCACTTACCTTTGAAAACCTTTGTGCGGGTGTGAAGGAGACAAGAGAGGAGGGTTATTGTGTAGGACAGTTTTCACTATCACTAACGGAATCACTGCTATCTATTGGCTCGATGGAATCCTTTTCTCTTCGTTCAACTTTAACAAGGAAACTGTCCAGTGACACTTGCTTTTGCCTCCTTTTGAGGACTTTGTGGAAATGTGACATCACGTTGTCGGTAAACAGATTCATCGCTTGCCCTGCTACAGCCTTATTCAGGTGGTGCTTTTCCACGAAATTTTGCAGTTTCCCAAATTTTACGCATCTCCCTAATCTCATTTGAAGTGAGGGGTTCCTCCACCTTTCTCTCCTCCTCCTCTGCAGGCAAGAGGTAGACATAGACTTCTTGTGAAATCTTGCAATTTCGACCGCTCGCATACCTCGTTCATACTTCTCGATGATTTCCTTCTTAACTTCCACTGTAATCATCTCCTTTTTCTTACTGCGTTTCTTTTCAATCTTTTTCTGCATGGGAGCCATTTTATGTGCTCGCACGGATGTTGACTATAGTACAGTATTAATAAACTCTTGTCATGTACTGTGTTTAATGTAACTGGCAACAAGGCAGCAGAGGAAAGGGTCTATATCTGCAGGCAGCCTGACCTAGAGTGAAGCAAAGCATTCCTAAGCTTACTCGTGTCTGGAAAAGCAAAGGACTGTTCGTAGGCGCTTTGAAGAGACAAAATACACTAGTGCCAGCTGTAGGCACCTTCCGACATTCTGAAAAATCACTGATTTCTGCCAAACACCGCCATCTGAGACGGAGCATCCAAGCATGGGAGAGGATCACCCACAATCCTGGAGACAGAGAGAGAGAAAACCATTGGCTCAGTTGTGATCATGTGACATTCAGTGTCACGTACTACTCATATTGCAAGACGTCACTCATTTATCAAATTAAAATTTATTAGAAATGTTTGCTCATCTTGCAGAACACTCGCAGATCAAGTGACTCATAACTCAGGGTTTTACCATAAATGTAAATAGGTGTTTTTCCGAGTTCTGTGAGTCATTTTAGTAGATTATAGAACCTGATGAAGGGAGTCATGGGAGCCTGCAAATCTGGAGTGAGGTGGCCAGGAGTGTGGGTGGCCTGGCCATTCCATCTGTAGCTGGCACCTGAGGTAGGGGCAGTCTTCTGGGGTCTGTGTTACCTCCGGGTGGATAGTGTCAGAATTGCATTGCATTGCTGGATACCCAGTTGGGATTGGGGAATTAGAGAGCTGGTATGGGAAAACTACACACATTTGATATCCGAAGTGGGGTCAGAAAACACCACACAACACCCTTCATGACTGCCGGTGACAGTTCATAGAACAGGGGAAGAGATTTCCCCAGCATGGTCCAAGCATTCCCGGGTTCTCCAGTTCTCATTCCTTCCCAAGCACCCACTAATGGGAGTGCAGACACACTTGTTAGGCAAAACACTCCCAAGGTACAACCTCCCCAGGACAAATCTGGGGAAAGAATCTTCTCAACCACAAGAACGAAAAAACTAATTTTGGAAGTGCTTCATAATTTGAAAAGTTCATCTCTACCCATAGCATCTGTAAATCACATTATCCTCCAGAGTAGAGTGAAGCCCTTTTTTTTATTTAACCTCCCCCCCTTCTAAATTGGGCCACGTGGAGCTTGCAGGGAAAAAGAACAGACCCCATGGCAAGAGCTGCTTCCTTCATTACTGGAAGAAAATCAGTGCAATCGCTGTCCTAGCAAGGATTCAATTAAATTCTTAGCCAAAGGCCCTTGTTCTCTGTAGTTTCTATCTAAGGAAAGAAGGCGAGAGAAAGCTCTTGATCTCTCGATGACTCCAGGTTTTGCTCTTAGCTTCATCAACATTTTATTCATATCTCTGTAGTGGTACTCAACATTGCAGGATTTATCTTTTTGCTGCTTTCTCCCCCTCACCTTCTCCTACCCTATTAAACTGGATGCACCTCAAAGGCAGGGTCGACTCACCTTGCACAACAGAACCCGGTAGAGTGTCTGGCCTACGGCAGGCATCCAGTGAGTAAGTGGATGAGTTTGTGGGAGTCTATATGTATAAATAAGGCATGAATGAATACACAAATAAATAGCTAGTTAGGCTAATAAGGCCGACCTTTCAGGATTCTTGCAAATAAGGAAGGGAACTGGAGGGAAGAGGGAGCACAGTTCCTAGTCTGTGTCCCTGTTGAGTAAACGCTAAGTTTCCTCCGTTCATTTGCTAAATACAAAGGCTCCCATTTTGCCTCTGGGGTTTATGACGTCATTATCATTTATATGTTGCTTTACTGTAGTAATTGGACACTTTTAAGAAGTCCTCAGCTCAGTTTTTGTCTGTGCTTTTAGCTGTTATGTGTCTCATTTTATCGCGGTATTGCAATGTATTCCAGGGAGCAAATCTCTATTCTCATGTTATAAGCAAAGAGCCTCCTTGCCAAGGATGGTTGAGTGTTAAGTGCAGCATCTATTTGGGATGACAAGTGGGGTCCTTGAAAAAATACAGGGTATGTATAGAAGAAGACAGTCTTTAACCTAGAAGGGGGAAACATCAGCATATTGCAATAATTTAGGGAGAAAGTGGGTAAGAATATCTCAATTTTAAGTGATATATGAAACCCACTCAGCCATTAAAGGAAGAAAATTTTTTAACCTTTAAAAGGGGGGAGAGGGGGTATCTCTCTAGTATGCAGATAAAATAGTATGCAGAAAAAAAATTGCTAGGAATATCATAATTCAAAAGCAGATACTAAAACTACTCAGCCACAGTGTATAAACACAAAGCCTTTCCAGATATTATATTTGCTCATTAAAAGAGAAAGCACTTGGGCGCCTGGGTGGCGCAGTCGGTTAAGCGTCCGACTTCAGCCAGGTCACGATCTCGCGGTCCGTGAGTTCGAGCCCCGCGTCAGGCTCTGGGCGGATGGCTCAGAGCCTGGAGCCTGTTTCCGATTCTGTGTCTCCCTCTCTCTCTGCCCCTCCCCCGTTCATGCTCTGTCTCTCTCTGTCCCAAAAATAAATAAACGTTGAAAAAAAAATTATAAAAAAAAAAAAAGAGAAAGCACTTTCCAGGTTTGATTTTCTATTTTATTCTGTTTAGCTGTGTGTGTATAGTACTTCCTTTTATCTTTACTTAATGAGAAGAAGCAAAAGAAAATAGAGTAGGAATTGCTAAGTCAAGTTATGTTCATTTTAGCCCATCAGAGGTTTGTTTTGTTTTTTGTTTTTCAGAGAATCAGGGTACCTACAGAATATTCAAAATAAACTAAAATGGGATTTTGTTTTTCTTACTCATGCCCAACCTCCTTAAAAACAAAAACAAAAACAAAAGCAAAAACAAAAACAAAACCACTCTGCCCACTGACCTGTATAAAACTGAAATTTGGCATCCATGAACCAAGCCATAGTTCTTTTAAAAACCTTCAGAGTCATAGCCATTCTCTCCCTTGGATAGAACCACAGGATACCTAAATATAATCACCATTTAATTTGTTTTCTCCCTCTTGGTGATGATAAACTTTGTTGCAACAAAGTTCCAATTAAGGAAGAATTAAGAGAAACCACGCCTCTCTGGATCTAAGCAGAATTCAAGGGGGCTCCTGGCTTGGGTCTTCTAAATGGGAGAGGAGCCAGATTATTTGCGTAGCTTAATTTATATCCATTACAATTACAATATGGTGAGTCTGATGCCGGTAATGATGGCTTGGAAGCCAGCCAAGGTTTCCCTTTCCCTCCGTCAGGCTCTGGCCGGGTGTGCCTTTCAGAGCCCCTCCTGCCCAGGCTTCTTTCTATTGTCCATAACCAAAAGGCTTTCCCATTCAGGCCACAACAAGCCCCACTCAGTACCCATGGTCAAAGAAAAAAAGGATCAGCACATAAATTTAACTGACGGAGTCACCAGGGATTAGAAAACAGAATCTGGCAATAAATATGGTAATTAGGTAATTTGAGACTTTAGCGCAAGGTCTTTTGAACATGCAATCTCAGAACTGGAGTCTGGAGCTGATTTTTGCACCATTAAGGAGAATTACGAAGAGTCGAAACTTTTTAATGATATTTAAGTATTTTTCATTGGCCAGTTAGTAACGGCTCTGTCCACACTAGGGAAATTTTAATGATAAGGCTAGGAAAAAGACCCCTAGCCTATTCCAAGCTGCCCAGTCCAAAGCAAACCCCCATTCCTCTGGAAGGCAAAGCAGAGTTTGGCTTGAGTATGTAATGAGCACTTAGTGGATGCTTAAGAATTCAATTCAGCTGCTACTTAGAAGAAAGAGAAAGAGCTGGGGAGAGGGAGGGAGGGAGGGAGGAACGAAGGAGGGAAGGAAGGAAGGGGAAGAAGAATGAAGCAGCCATCTTTTTCCCCCCTCTAATTTAATAGCGTGGACGTTTTAATTGTTTTGCCATTTCACAGAGGAGAGTTTGGGACATTTAATCAATCTGTAGGTTGTGCCTCAGCAGGCTGTGTTGGCTGTGAAGAAGCCTTGATTCATCAAGGAAGGCTTCCCTTTGTGTTTGGAAAAGGAAGAGAGAAGGCAGCTCAATGTGACTTCCTTCAGAAGGTCACTTCTAAACACCCAAGACTGAGTCTTGAGCTCCTCCTGGGGCCATTGCCTCCCGTCTCCCTGTACCCTCACAGGGGCGGTTGTATTGAGGTCCCTGGTTTTCTGGTCTCTCCTCCTCCCCCAGCTTCTGAGCTCCTCCAAAGAAAGGACGATGTGCTGTTCCCTATGGGACCCCAAGTCTTTCCACAGCTCCTGGTACATAACGGCTCAGTTATTTATTGAATAAATGAGGGGGTAGGGCCCATAGGAATAAAAAATGCTCTCATCATATAAAAACTCTGTGTTTTGGAAAGATTCCAGGTTCTATTTTCCTGCAAAGGCTATTTGTGTAATTCCTTGTACTGTCCTAAACTATAATCTTTGAGGCCTCAAGATAAAAGAGCCTTGGAATAGTAGCTCTCAACCTGATTAGTGATCAAAATCACACTCAAAAGTTAAAATATCGATTTCCTTGTGAAATTCTAGGATGGGGGTCTGAAATACTACTGTTTTGTCGTAGTGGAATTGGCAGCTAGATCTCTACTTAATCCTGAAACACTGGAACCCCTGCTTTTGAAATTAGATCATCTAATCCTTGCAGTTGATGGATTAGGTCATTGGCTAGAAAGAATAAGGGACCTTGGGCAACCAAGGTCAAAAGCAAGTCAGTGGCAGAGGTAAGACTTGGACCTACGTTTCCTGATTCTCAGCTCTTATAGCTCTTTCTTGCACTTCAAGTGCTTAAGAGTTTACTGAGCACCTATTATGTGCCAGCACTCTGCTGGGTGTTGGAAATAAAAGACAAATAGTAATAAAGCTCCTTTATCAAACACTTAGTATGTATGCGATACGGAGTGAAGTGCTTTTTTTTTTAATTTTTTTTATTTATATATGAAATTTATTGTCAAATTGGTTTCCATACAACACCCAGTGCTCATCCCAAAAGGTGCCCTCCTCAATACCCATCACCCACCCTCTCCTCCCTCCCACCCCCCATCAACCCTCAGTTTGCTCTCAGTTCTCAACAGTCTCTTATGCTTTGGCTCTCTCCCACTCTAACCTCTTTTTTTTTTTTTTTCCTTCCCCTCCCCCATGGGTTCCTGTTAAGTTTCTCAGGATCCACATAAGAGTGAAACCATATGGTATCTGTCTTTCTCTGTATGGCTTATTTCACTTAGCATCACACTCTCCAGTTCCATCCACGTTGCTACAAAAGGCCATATTTCATTTTTTCTCATTGCCACGTAGTATT